ACAGGCTGGTCCTATGGGACTCAAGAGGCCTACGACCATGATGAAGAACAGTGCTTAGCAGAGTTATGATATCCGCAACCCGTCGAAGGAGTTACTTGAGGTCACCAAAAGGATGATCGACTTTGCGGAAGAAGGGAAAACGTTTTTCCGTGACCAGAGCTAGTTGATGATGGATCTTTCGAACATTTTATTCGGAACTTACAGGTATTAAGTGCAGTGAAAGCAGTTGAGAATCCTGGAAGGTCTGAAGGCGGTTGATTCGCCGAAGACACAGTCCCGTCGATTATGTATCCATCATCGAAAGCATTGATGATGGTCAAAACTCTCTGGTCGATGAAGATGGACCAATGTTGGTTGAAGATGAGGAACCAGTTTTGGTTGAAGATAAGGAATTGATTTTCGTTGAAGATGATTAAAAATAAAAATTGGTTTTGTTTTTTTAAAAAAGCATAGTTTATTGGGGGTTTTGTATATTTAAAGGGTTCCACATGTCGCTCCGTCTTTGCCATAAATGTTCAATAAGATCGAATTGCAGCTGATCGTGTGTATCAGCATCTCTGATTGCATAAAAACTTAGCAACGAACTCACCGAATGACGAATTTTGGCGAGACGATGGAGGAGGAGAGAAGTGGGGTTTGTAAGAAACACAAAGATCCAATCCACGTTCATCTTCCACAATCATGTTATGCAAAATAATCCATGCTTCGATGATTGGATGTACAACCTCTTCCTTGAACAGGCGAGAGGGTATTTGGAACATGGCAAAACGTGCCTGTAAGACACCGAAAGCCCGTTCTACATCCTTTCTAACCGCGTCTTATGCCTTTGCAAAGTTCTACCATATAACACGTTAAATCAAAGTAGATATAATAATCAAAGTTTCCATGGATTACCTTTTTCTTTTGCGACTGTAGGTTTGGCAGGGTTTTGACAAGAGGAGCATATCTTGGTTCTATGGCATCTGCCCCATTGTAACCTCTATCATAAGTATTGAGGTTGACCGTGAACTTGACATCAGGCACATCACGTTTGGCCAGGCTTGCAAAATTTGGGAACCGGTGTAGGATAGTGATGTCGTTGAGGGAACCAAGAAGACTAAGAAGGAATGCCAAATCCAATGTTCCTGAGAACCTACAGCCTCCAACATAATGGTTGGTTGACCACTATTACCAGCAAACTAACCATGATGAGCAGTTAGGCAGCTCTTCCATTGCTAATGCATGCAATCAATGGATTCATGCACACCCGGGAAGCCTCGCTCTTCATTGATCGCCAACAAACGATCAACATCTTCTTGCCTAGGAGTCCTTATATACTCCTTCTTCTACAACGTCACAACAGCATTTGCGAATCTTTTTAAGAATTTTCGTGTTGTTGATTTGGCTATGCAAAACGTGCCGTCCATTTCATCCGATCCTACTGCATAAGCCAGTTGACGAATGGCTGCTGTTACTTTATGGAGTGGCGTAAAGTCTAAGACGTTGGCCTCATCATACTTTTGCCCAAAGTAGCTATCATGAGCAGTCACTGATTTGGTGATTCGCAAAAAGAGACTTTTCCTCATTCTGTATTTTCTACAAAAAGCAGCGTCGGAATATTTTGAAGTTTTCGAAAAGTAATCGTTCAGGAGCGTTTCAAGTCCTGCTGTACGTCTTCTCTTGACAACTCGACGTTTTTTGATAACACGAGGCTTTTGATTTTTGACTTTTTTCGTAACCCTTAGAAAATCTTTCATAGCAGTAAGATTCATTTTATAATCCTATACACGGTCATTGCCAAATAGTCTTTCGAAAGTTTACATTGCAGACATTGTGTGAATGAAAATGAAAAAAGTGAAAAAAAGTGAAAAAAAGTGAAAAACAATTATAGGACCGGCACCGAATTGTAATATTTTTTTAACAAACGACTGTAGAAATTTCAAAAAATAAATCTGTCCATAACAAAAAATAATAAATTTACAAAAACATTTAGCAAACCGCTTGGGATGCTCCTAGAGGGTATTTATAGCTACGTGTATCGATCGTATCATTAGTTTTATCATCAATCAGATATAAAAAATGGTTTTATTTTTTGACCCATAAACAAAATCCTAAAATTGAATCAACAGTGACCTATTCGATTCCGCAGTATTACCATGTACAGTATTATCACCTAAAATTCGGACAACTTAAAATTATTTTCAGTCAAGCTCTAAAAAAATTCGGACAAAAAAGAATATTTTTCGACAAGGGTAAAAAATTAATGAGACAAACGGAAATTATTTTAAGAAATATGATAACGAAACTTCAGACAAGTAAAAGATTAAACTACTTTTGATTCTTTGTCAAGGTATTTATCCCAGTACGTTTCAGAGTTTTGTGTGCAACGTTTACAATCGTCCGGGGTAATAGTCTCACAGGCTGCCTCGATTTTAGGGTTAAAGTGCTCATAGTGGAAAGCGAGTCTCATTTGATGTGCTTCTTGATCTTGGATCAGCGTTCATCAATAAGAATCAAAAATGATGAATATGGGGGCATAAATAAAGGCTTATAGCCTCTAATTTTACTTGGATCAACAACAAAATGGGAATGATGAATTCTAAAATTACCCATGACGATATAAAATTCAAGCTTGTTGTGTCTGTCTAGAACATCCATGACATTTCTAACAAATGGTACAACATGATTCACAGTCGTAGCCCTTTTTCGGTTTCTTTTTGTGTCGTCGTTTTTATCCTTTCTTTTTTTTGCTGGCTGGTAAAGGAGACTCTTTTTCAATCTTAGCTACATCATCTAGCTACAACGGCTCTACCTTGGAAAAATTGACGATTCCAAAAAACAGTATACACCCAATAAACCTCAAGTTATCGCCCTTTTGAGTTGGAACAGAACCGACGGCAGGTGTTCCATTGACGGACCAGGCTCTACTTCTGATCTGGTGCGCGTTCAAACCGGCCTCATCCATAAACACGCAGCTAGTCTGGAAGTCTACCACAACTGCTTTCCAAGCGGTTTTTACGTTAAATCGAAGATCCATTGTTCTGTTCTCATCTATTTGCATTGTATAGATTTGTCAGTCTTTTAATGAAAGTCGAATTTTTTTCACCATATTCTTTCTCAGTTCAATTTGGGAAACGCTAAAGCCTTCAAAAACAACACAGTTACTATCTTAATATGTTCATGGTAATACAAGGGTTTGGTGCACTAACTCGATGAGATACTTAGTTAGCTGTGTCATAATCTCATAATTCTTTGCTCGCTTTGCCCGCCTATTTTAGAAGGCTTTCTTAAACCGCGGATAGGAGTCACGGTTCTATCACTTTTATTTCTTTTTTTAATATTTCATAGGCTGTAGACCGTGGGATAAAACAGGTTTTGGATTGTTTATCATAAGCTGAAAAAAAAGTTCTAATAATAACGGGCCAATAGGCCTTATAATCTGTTGTTTAATGTGAGCTTAGGTTAATTTGACTGTTTTCCGCATCATTCTCAACTTCTTTCGATCCACTTTCCTGTTCCATCTCATCATATACCAACATTTGCTGTGGTACAGTCCAATCGTCGGCCAACAAAATTAATTTACCAAACATTGTTGGATGGTCCTCAATCACATCCATCCCATCGAAGACTTCATCGAAATAAGATTTTCTCATTGTTTGGGATGGAGATAAAATGTAAATTAAGGTAACAAAAGAAAATACTGTTAGAACTGTGTATATCTTTTATTTCGAGAAAATTTAGATTAGGGAATTCTACTAGCAAAAACTACAGGTATTTATACTAAATGATTAGATGGCTTTCGGATAATATATGTGACGCGTTAGAGGAATATGATATAATGTTATACGCAATGTCTGTTTAAATAAATATGTTATGAAGTAATTCCTGCCTTACAAAGTAAAGACAAAGTACGTGAGGATCTAAATTCATCTCCGCAGGTGACATTACGTAAATGCCAAAGAGAAAGTTTAGTGCGTGTAATATTCAGCAACCGAATATTCCGCCTATGGGATTGTATTATACTTTTATGGTATTATAATATTTTACTCGTCACAAGGCGAATCACCTTGTGCACAGACACCAACGGTTCTGATGATAACAAATGGGGCGAAGTGTGAGCCATGAATATTTATACATGATCATCCATTATTATGTAAAATGTGATGATTCTTTTATTATAATCTATGACATCCTCAACACTCATTACAAACGTGTTTGCTGTGTTGTAATCTTTTACTTGCATTTTGACTGTTTTTTTGTTAAACGATACTTTGACATTAAGAAGATAATGATGTCTGTCAAAAATTTTTTTATTAAATAATCTGACATTTGTCTGAAAATAATTTTTTTAGTCTGAATTTTTTGTTCAGCTAGTCTGAAAATAATTTTCAGTTATCTGGATTTAAACTGATAATGCTGCCCCTTTTAATTTGGATAATGAATATCCTTTTTACCTGAAGATTCTGAGACGTGTTATAATTACCTTTTCAAATCGGATGAGACATGTTTAAATAATTATTTAAATATTTCAGAATAAGAAAAAGCAAAATTCCATTCGATATTGCAAAAATACGAAACCATAAAGATCTAATAAAATTGGTTTAATTTGATCCCTAAGAAGTAAGGACACATTCCTGCCATCGACATAGTTCTTCTTTTCGAGTATATTTCTTTGTAAAATCACTTTCCAGATTCAGTCTTACAAAAGCAGCCAACGAAGTTAATTGCCTTTCTAGTTACCGAGATCAATTTGTTTTCCTAAATAATAATAAAAAAAGCAACCCATAATGTTGACGGTTGTGGCGAAGCAGTTGAATGCGAGCAACTGTGATTTACTGGTAGTCGTCTCTTTCTGATTTATTTAATTGACGGAATAAGAATTTTTGTGACTTAGGTCATAATCTTTTTGCCAGCAAAATATATCAAGTCATAATTTTAGTGGCTTAGAAAAAAAATTTAAGAAGAAGGGCTTGTTATATTTCTTTTCTTTTCCTTTTCTTCCCTATACCAGTCTCAAAAAAATGCTAGTCCAACTTTTCTTCGACGAGTAAGTATAAGACATACATTTACCATGTTTCGTATAAACCTGATTTTAACTTTGACATTCAATAGCTTCATTTGTGAATTAACACATCTCGCCTTTCTCTGTTCGGCATTCCCTTGGTTTTTGGGCAGATGTGGTTTTTATTTCGCTTGGAAAAAATTTGTTTGTTTGCTTAGTTCCTTTTGGCGTGTGGTGACTGGTCTTCGACCAAGACATCGTACTCCGCCAATGGCAATTGGCGAATTGTACTTCTGCACCGGTGAGGGTTTTTACCCCGTCAGCATGAGGGATCGAGTCGCTGTTTCGCCCTTGCCTGCCGTTTCTTTCCGTTCTTTTGTTGGTGCTTCTGCTTCCGCTCCTGCTTGTTTTGCCCCGGCTGTCTCGTCGCCTGTCCGTGAGGTTCCACGCCTTACATTTTCGTTTGCTTCTCCCTCTCCCACAATTATAAAAGCTAAACGTAAGTGTTACTTTATGGACTGTGCTTCTGCTCTTGGCTTGCCTTCTGTTGATTGTGGTCTGGTGCCTTCTTTGCCTCCCCTTCCCCAATACGACCCTTCCATGCCTGCCTTTGCCTATGTCGGCTTAGTGATCAGTCGAGCATGGCTGGTTGAGAACGTGACTTGTGTTCGCTCGGAGCCTTTGCTTGCTGCTTCCGTTGTTTCTTCTTTGCCTCTTGGTGGGCTGTGCTCTGTTGGTTCTTGCTCCGGGGCTTCGTCCTCGGTTGGCGACATGGTGTCTTCTCCTGTGTCTGCTCCTGTAGCTTCGTCTTTGGAGTCTTTAACTTCTTCGACCTCTGTGGAGGTAATGGGACGTTCGGCTTCCTCTTCCTTTGTCTCCGGTGTTTCTGGGTCGTCTCCTGTTGTTGCCGTGGAGCTCTCTGCTCCTTTCGTGGAGACTTCGCTTGGTTCGGCTGCTCTGTCTGAGCCTTCGGCCCATAATGTCGCTGAGATTGTTTGTCCTGTTGTTGTGGCTGGCACTGTTGCTGTCACTACAGCCACAGCTGTACCGCGGCCTGTGGCCATCCCTCGACCGTTTTCTTTGCGTCGTCGTTCTGGTGCTGGTCGTTCTGCTGGCGCTGTTGTTGCGATCTCTCCTGCTGCCGTTTCGTTTTCTGGTGCTCGTCTTTCTCCTTCGGAGAATGTAATCTCTGGATTCAAGAGAAATATGCCTCCTCCCCCACCACCAACCTCTCGTCGTCGTCGGCTTTCCTGTTGTCCTCCTCCGGACAAGGTGTCTGTTGCTGTTTCTTCCGTCCCTGTGGTTTCTTCCGTCCCTGTCGTTTCTTCCGTCCCTGTCGTTTCTTCCGTCCCTGTCGTTTCTTCCGTCCCTGTGGTTTCCTCCGTCTCTTCTGTTCCTGCGGTCGGTGTCGTTGAGGCTTCCTCAATCTCTGTTTCCCCTGCGCGTCCCATTGCCATGCCGTGCGTGGGCCATTACGAAAAAGCCAGGGAGAAACAGAGTTTGAGGGACCTCTTCGACGCTGCCGAAAAGGAAGGTAGGATATTTTTATTTTTAAACTTTGTTAAAAACGTTTAATTTACTCGTTGTATCTATTTTGTAGAAGAAGAGGAGTTGAAGAAGGAGCAAGAAAAGAAGGAAAAAAAATCTCTCTTCCACCGAAGAAAATAAATCTTTCTTTTTAAAAGTATAATTCAATGGGATGAATCACTATAGATTTTTTTGATGTTTGTTTGGGTATTTTGTACATATTTTTAAGACGTGACTTTCATATGAAGTCATTCTTTGCGAATGCTTGAGATTGTTTTTATGAACATCTTACTCAAATGCCGATTACGACTCATACAAGCAATAGTTCGGCGTTTTTAATTCGTTTCAGATCATAAAGAAAAGCTTATTATAAACAACATGATCGGGTAAGATTAGTTGGATCAGACAAAATGCATTCCGTCATCTTTTAACTTAGTTATATCTTACAAATGAGATACGTGAAGCAGAAAACACTAGGGGGTGCCAAACATTAAAAAAATCATTTCCTTAATTTTTAAAAAACATTCCCGGGAATTTTTCCCCAGCCAAATTCCCTAAACTTTGCGGGAACGATTTTTTGTGCCCGAGATTTTGCGGGCAAGAAAAAGTATTCCCGAGAAATCTCGGGAAAGAATACTCATTTTCTATTCGTTGTTGAGAAGGAAATATGACGTGAAAATGTAACATTTTATTTATTTTATGATAATCGAAAAGCATCAAATCGCATCTGTGTTTGCATTATAAAGTTTTTCTAAGTTTTTAACTTACCTTTTTTCTCCTTAAATTTCTCTGAAACGTATAATCTAAAATGTCTGATCAAATAAACAGAAACACTGGTGGCGGTCCTTCCAACAACGATTCCGCAGATTAAAGCCTTGATAGAACCAAAACTACACCTGGTCAAATCAAGGCTATGATTGGTTTCTTTGAGAGTAATCAAGACCTTTTTAAGATATATCTTGGTGGACAAAAGTCGTCCGCTCCTTCAGCTGGTAGTCAGATAAAAAAAAGAGAGATCATTGAGAGATTGTTTCAGCAACTTCTGGCAGATAAAGTAATTCCGTCTTCCTGGAATTTCAAATCGGTTGGAAAACGTTTTGAACGCCAACTCGCAAAGTATCGCGATGTAGAAAGAGATATGAACTCTACCGGTTTTGGCTTGACTACAGATGACATTAAACGTGGACTGACCTCCATCGAGATCAAGTGTGAACATTTGTGTAGTTGGATTTTCTCGTTTGGCTTCTCTGCATGGTGTTAGACCAAACATAACTCCTTATTGTGTGGCGTTCCATGGTGCCCCTGGTGGTACCGAGTACACATACTCCAACAGAGTAAGGCCATCATTAGCTGCAATTGAGGCACAAACTTTTGCAGTTTTTGGTGGTCAACAAGAGGCGATTGAAGAGGTCAGTCGATTGTTGGTTGGAAGTGATGCAGCTGAATCTTCAACAAGATCATCTGCTTCTCTTTCCTCTGGTGCTCCTTTGGCTGCTGGTGCTCCTTTGGCTGCTGGTGCTCCTTTGGCTGCTGGTGCTCCTTTGGCTGCTAGTGCTCCTTTGGCTGCTGGTGCTTCTCTTTCCTCTGGTGCTCCTTTGGCTGCTAGGTCTTTGTCTGTTGCACCTGTGTCTACTGAGCGTTCTTCCTCTTTCCGTTTTTCTTCTGTTGGGCCATTCTCAAACGAACCTCTCTCTTTCCCTCGTCCTGCTTTTGGTGAAGCTTCGTCTGGCCAGCCGTCATCTGTAGAAGTACCAGCTACCAATGTTGCTTCTTCTCCTCTGTTGGTTCCATCTAATACCCAGCCATCAAGTCGCACACCATTATTTGAATCATCATCAGAGAATAATTTGTTCGATTCCTTTTCTTTTGATGATGGTGGAGATTTTGATGATGCTGGGTCGTATCATGCTGTGGACCATGACAACGATGTCAACAGTGGTAGTGCTGCTCGTGCTGGTGGTGGTGTTGGTGCTGGTGTTTCTGGTGTTGCTGGTGGTGCTCGTGCTGGTGCTGGTGCTGGTCGTGCTGGTGCTGGTGGTGGTGCTGGTGGTGGTGCTGGTGGTGGTGCTGGTGGTGGTGCTGGTGGTGGTGCTGGTGGTGCTCGTGTTGCTGGTGTTCGTGGCGGTGCTGGTGCGGGTGCTGGTGTTGGTGGTCGTGGTCGTGCTCGTGGTCGTGCTCGTGGTCTTGCTCGTGGTCGTGGTCGTGGAGGTGTTAGTCGCGCTGGTACCGTTCAGCCTGAAATGCCAACGGCTGATCGCATCCGTGTTGATCCCGATCACGCCATGAGAAACAAGAGGATCAAAAGAGACTTTTCTTCTGAGTATCGCGAGGCTCAGTTGAGAAGGGACGAAGTATTGAGGGAAAATAGTCAGAGGGAGTTCGATTTGGGTATGTCCCAATTGCTTGTTACTTGTCTGACAACGAACGCCTTCAATACATCGTCATTTACGGAAATTACCAGACATCTGGCTGATTTTCGTGGATCTCTGAGGGATCCTGTCGATGATGATGATGTATATGATGATACAGAGTATCTTTACAATCTTGATAATGATGAAGATGAGCACGACGACGGTAATCCTTCAACAGATGTAGATTAATATTTTTTTCTTTTTAAATAAATTTTTTTTTTCCTCTTACAAATATATTTACATTCATTGTTCAGAAACCTTCACAGCAAGGACGCAATCCAATCCTTTCAACACAAATGCACATTATATCAACTCAGTTGGTTTATTCATTATCATATCCGAAATGTACTGCATAATCTGCTAAAACTACTTCAGCAACGGAATTCCTCCAAGTATTCAATATACGGCTGGAAACACTGTTGACGTTGTCAAATGACTCCAGCAACACCACGTCTAATCTCGACTGCCCGACGTCAACATCCTCATAAAAATCACCGTCAAAATTGTCATTTTCCAAGATCAAATAGTTGTGCAAAAGACCGCATACATGTACCAATTCATGTATTCTCATGATATCCTCCTCACAATTGATCTGAATCGGAATGTTCTTCAAGATTCTCCATTTTCCCTTTAATACACCAATGGTATTTTCAACAGCAACTCGGGCGGAAGAGTGAACCCTGTTGAAGTCTTCGCACTTCACCGAACTTACAACCTGGGGTCTTCTGTAAGGAGTAAGCACAAATGGATGAAGAGCATATCCGGAATCACCGAGAAGGTACTCATGGCTTGCAGCATCGCCACATGTGAAATACTTGGCTTCTCTATTAATCATGAAGCTAGCATGCTCTACACATGTGGCATCACACATCGATCCTGCTTGTCCTGATTGGAAACCCAAAATGATCTTTCGTTCATCACAAACAACCTGACAGTTCACAGAATAGAACCCCTTTCTATTGTAATAGGATTCGGGGCAGTCGGTAGGCTTTTGAGAAAGGCGAAAATGGGTGCCATCGATGTATCCAATACAATTACGAAAAAAGTGCTGCTTTTTGATGGCTTCAGCTGCTCTTTCTCTTTGTTCCTTGTTAGGCCAGCTCATCAAGTGTTTAAGGTTGTCGGTGATTGCCTTAAAACAGCGGTTGGTGTAGTCAGTGACAGAGCCTTTGCTGATTCCAAACAAAGTTGCAATCTGCTCAATGCTGTTACCAGTTCCATCGTGACTTAATCGTCTCAAGGTTACTGCAAGTTGAACGTGAACATCCCTTTGAGGAATGAAACTCTGGTTGTTGAAGACTGCGTGACCTTCAATCAAGCGAAGGAGCTTTAAGAACGAGTCCTTATTCATTCTACAAATCTTAACAAACTCTTCGTCATTCCACTCGAGGAAATACTCGCGATACTGGTCCAGTTTAGGAATGCCAGGTCCACTGTTGAGAACACGTTTCGTTTCTAATCCACTCAAGAGTTCGTGCATCTCTTCCGCTTCTTCTTCATTTTCAATGATAACATTGTGCTTAAGCAAAGACTTCATCTCGTTCAAAGTTTGTTGTCTAATAGATTGTTTGGGCATTTTAAAAGTTGAAAATAAAAGATAATATTTATAAAAAATGGTTTAAAGTGAAAAGGGGAAGCTAGAGCTGTATTTGGCTTATGACGAGTTTTCCCAGCCTAAAAAGATTCCCGGAACTTTGAAATAAAATTCCCGCGATTTTTGAAAAAATTTAATGTTTGGCACCCCCTACTGTCTTTGAACTGTGCGTAGACTATATTGGGGTCTTACAAGGATCATGTTCAACGACTACGAAATAATTGGATATTTTTTAAATGTCGCTTGACAGATTTAAGTTTTAAGTCTCCTAGTAATTACATTGTTGTCATAGTTGCAATTGTCTAAATTTATTCATCAAATGGAACGTGACAAAAAAATTTAAATCGAGGAATCTTCGTATATGTCTGGCTTTTCTTGAAAAAATATCTGTTTTTTATATTTCCCTCTTAGAAATATTTCAATAAAGCCGATTTTTCATAAAATTGTTTTTTTATTCGCGCCTTTAATTCGAGTTAACAGTTAGCTGCTTTCTTGTGTTTCCCGAAATTATTAGTAACTAACTTGATTCTGCTCTCCAAGTTCATCAATATGGATTTTCACTTGTAATATGTAATGTAGGGATGAAAAATAACGATTATGTATAACATATACTGTGAGTCCAGTGCAAAAACGTTATAATGTGTTTTGTTATACTTTTTTATTGTAAAATAATAATGAGATACCGTCTGCGTTTGTAGTTTTGAAGAGTGCTATGTATTATTTGTCTTTAATAAAAACTGGCGTTGAAGATTAAACGTTGTATTTTGTTAAAACTTGTATAAGAATTTGTTGATTGTCTTTGCAAAAATTACTCAGATTTTAGATTGTTTTGTCACCAAACAAAGAGAAACTGATTTCGCAAAGTGCATAAAATCAAAATGCATATACGTTCAATTAACCTGGATCGTTCAAGAACGTCTTCATGCTTTTGCAATAGATGATTTTCTTATCATTACACATAATATTTAACTATAGCTACAGTTCGAAAGAAACCGAATAATTAAACCAATTGAAGATATTTTGTGCGGGGGACAATGTAATTTTTAAGATTCTTAGTTTCCGTTGGGACGGCAGTAAGCTATAAAAGAATAGTTTACTATTGACTTGTCAAATGACATTAAGAGATGGAACGGTCAACAATCGTTTAAATCCAAAACATTTTCCCAGATTTTCGTACTACCATAAAATGAATTCAATTTGGTTAAAGAGTTTTCGAGTAATGTCGTGAGTGCATGGTTGCAAAATCACAATTGCAGTTTTTTCTTGTGATACATTGTATTACACTGCAACGTCGGAATTTGATTGAGGACCACGTCATTATATACCTGAGAAAGACTTTTATTTATTTTTTATATTTTAGCTCCCTAAATATCAAATTTTTCTTTCCTCGACACAGAAGTAGTAATGTCAGAATTTATTCTAAACCGCCGTTTCAAAAAATCAACATTAGTTGGAACAGGATTTTATGGCTCCATTTATAAAGTTAAATCGTCTGGCTGTTGAGATTCACTTTTTTTTTTTGTCGCTAATCAAGATTCCAAATTAGAGGATTCGATCTTAAGGACAAGCGAGATGTCGCGATCAAAGAAGAATTGTTGCCTACTAATACACCGGAACTATGGAGAGAAAAGCTTTTTATGGAATAATTCGAAATCAAGAATGCTTTCTTCAAAAAATAACCTCTTTTGAACGAGGAACCTACAGATATTTGCTTTTGATTTTGGTCGGAAAATATCTTTTCGATCAGAGCGAATATCATGGAGACAAATTGGGACTTAAATCTACAGTTCTGATTGCTAAACAGCTGGTAAATACGGTGTGGTATAAATTGTTGGTGTTTCTTTAACTTACATATTAAATTTTAGGTAGACCGTATTGAAATCCTTCACAGCAAAGCTAAACCTAAATGTTGATAGTACCAGCGTCTGCCTACTCAAACGGAGTTTTCGTTTTAGGTATTCTGCATTTAGATCTCAAGTCTGAAAATATTGCCATAGGGATAAATAAAAAAAAACAAATATACGGTATACCTTCTGGATTTTCGTCTTAGTAAATTTCATAAGAATGGAAAAAGCCATATCCCCTTCGCCCACAAAGTTCCTTTCGGAGGTGTCATTTGTTACGCATGTTCAAATGTGCATAAATGACATTGTAGGTATAATTATTTGATAATTAGATATAAATGACGCTTACGTTTGTTCTTTAGAGTTATCTCGACGTGTTGATATCGATTCTATGGTTTACGTCATCGTCTACCTCTTGAAAGGAACCTTACCATAGATAAATTATAAAAACAATTATAAAAATTCCAAAAAGCAAAGACTTTTGGCACAGAAGGAGAAGCTCAGTTCAGAGCAGCTGTGTAATGGATTGGAATCAGAATTTGCAAAGATTTTGGAGTATTCCAGATCTTTATCTTCCACGCAAAAACCAGATTACCGATTCATTCACAAATTACTGGATGATATAATCGAAAGAAAATGATATAAGGATGATCATGTTTTCGAGTCGAATGTACGTATATCTTTTGTTTTATTTATGGTCTTCATGTACTTATACTCCTTTTCAAAAGACAATCCAAACTATCGAAATCATTGAAACCAGCAAACATGATCCAAACAAACGAAAGTTGGTGGCTGATAAATACCAAGCACATCAATCGATCATCAAGAAGCGCGGCCAAGGCAAATAATAAATAATTGTTTTTTGAACCTAATTCCAATTAGAATATATGTCTGGGTATTGTATAGGGTTCTTGGTAGAATTTTGGTTCCATTTGTGACGGTAAATAATGACGATATAACTAGATAAACAATTTAATCCGATTTTTTAATAAATTAACGTCTATTTTGGTCTTCTGAGAGGGGTCCCCATCTGTGGTATATTCGCCAAAACAGGTGCAATACGTGGGCAAACGTGTGCACACATACTGTAAATGTCACAAGTGTTATAATTACAATACATTATACTAACGGTAAAGACACAAGACTGGAGGTGTTAAAATATATCAAGTTTTTATAACTGGTTACGCTAATTAATTTTTTTGAAACATTGGATATGCGTACCGAGTCCGATCGATTCCGCGTAATAAAATACGAACGTCATTTTAGCCTGGTAAATCTGTCTCCTATTCAAATAATGTATATACTTTCGACCACATAACCGCAGAACCTTTCCTATGACAAGCTCTGTTACATTTCTAATTAAAAATGTCTTCATTAGTACCTTCATTGGGCTGAAGTTAACTTAATAGATAATTATGCATATCATTCATGTATATCTTCTGCTCATGATTACTATTATAAACTGGCTGTTTTCGGGATGTTAATAAAGATGTTGGCTGATTGAGTTTGAAGTAAGCACAAAAGCAATTAATGAGCTTTGATTAGACCTTTTTTAATGTACTGTTTTTAAGAAATAGAGACATAAACAATCAAGGGGTCGAAAAATAATAACTCCTTTTGTAGTATTTGTTATTAAATTAACAAGAAGCTTTTATCAGGACTTGTTTCGGTATGTGACGATACTTCAAGATGGAGTTGTTGTGCTATACAGGGTCTTGATTACGTTATGATAGTTCGTGTTAGGGATGTTTATTAGGGAATTTTAATAATGTTAAGTGATTTTGTTTGACGATGTTAAGTGTGTACCGTTACAGAATATAAAAAATAATGGAACTTGTTCATACAACGTAAGAATTACAAAAAATCGGTCGAGATACTGTAACAATCATTTCTTACACACTTATAGAAAAAAAAGTTGATACAGAAAAGGTTTTATGGAGATTGTTTAAAATACGTGTGTTAATATTCAAAAGAATGTTGCTTACTGCACAAGATTTTGAAATTTACAGAATGGTTCGTTTAAATTCAGACGATTTTAAGTACGTTTTTAGGAAAAAAGAACAAAGAAAAAAATGAAATCATAAACAATGAAGAAACCAAGGAAAAGAAAAGACGTAAGAGCAAGCATGGTAATTTTTTTAAGCGTATCATATGTCCAAAGTTTATTTAAAACAAAAAGGGGCTCCCCTTCGGGTCGCTGATCCCATTTTTTATCTAATGGCGTATTAAACGGGTTCTCGGAACACATATTTTTTAGTTTTTGCTTCGTTCCGGTAGAAATACATGGTTCCTGGAGGACACATCAGAAACGACTGCTTAGCTTATAAGAGTTGCAATAGTCGTATTTAGTTTAAGTTAACCACCACAAAGGTTCGTGACAGCTTGTATATGAGATATACCTCCCAGAATCAAATGTATCTTGATTCGTAAAAATACTATAAATAAAATATTCAGTTTTGTGGTTGACTTGATTGAGGGTGGAGGAGAACTTTGAATGCCATGTTGATTTAAAAATGAAAAAATTGCATTTTGTTCGGGCCGGTCTTGGCTGAAGTTCAAATTGAAATCACCGGCAATTGCAACATATATGTAATGATGTTGAATTATAAATTCTAATTCTTCCAGCAGTAGGTCGGGTATTTAACAAGGATTCAAAGACGCATAAATGCTACAATAGAGAGTAGAATTAAATGGAACAGTTGACACAGTTACCGAGAAAGAGAAGTTATTCCTGTCAAAAAATCTTATTGAAAAATTACAATCCCCTAATATCGAGATATAGACATTACAACAACTGCCTATAGGCTTACACACACCATCTATACAATCAACAGTCGGTACCAATTTAAGGCCTGGAGGTTCATAATTATCTGTTCGTAATGTCCATGTTTCATTACGGAGGATTATGCTAGATGATAGATATATAGGGTCGTTGATTATCAGTCCAAGTGTGCCGGGAGGTTTTGTACATCATGTGAGATAACTTGAAAATGCTCCTTTTTTGTAAGGCTTAAAAAAGTTGGTTAGAGTGTAATGCTAGGCTGACGTTGGATTTCTAGACATAAATCACGGTGTTTTTCTTTTGATAAAGGTCTCGGTAGTTTAAAAACATTATCTTTACATATCAAAGTTAGATCAGCGGTTGTTGTTGCTCTTGGGCATGCGAAATATATCAATGACCTCTGCATTTTGTGATTACCAACATCATATACTACAACTTTTATGTATGTGCCACCCTGTTATTTGTGTATTTGTTGGGTTTCGGCTGGTACAACAGGGAATTGCTTGCGATTTACTTTTAAATCCTCTTTACGATTGCTGGTAAGTTGTAGTGAGAACGTTTCAATTATAGTCCAATCATCATACAAAATGTTGCCCATTTCTCTTAATCGTACTTGCTTCTTCCTCAAAGACAAACCACTGGTCACATCATCAAATTTTATCCAAATTCGTAAAGGCTTTTTTTCAGTATCTGTTGTGGCTTCAGTCCAATTTTTAACTTGCCATAATCTTTTTTTTTAAAGACCCAGCCGTTCCATTTACGAGACTGTCTTAAGTATCTAGGATTGAAGTGACCATGCACCGAACTTTTAATTTGAGCCTTAAATGTTTCATTAGACCAAGATTATTAACCTGGTTCACTGAGTCGTTAGCAACAGACGCAAGCAAATGTTCAAAAGCAGATCGATTAGAACTTACACCGATGATACAATCAAATCACACAGAAATAGCACCTTCCGTAGTCATGTTTTCTGAAACTGCAGCATTCATATTTCTGACCATGTTATTTTTGTGAAACAAACAAATAGCTCTATCCTCCCTGTTAAGATCACCACACAAAACCCCTTCGCCCAAATAAAAGAAAACAGTATTTTCTCTTTTCAAAGCTTTCAAATCGAAGTCGCTTACTTGAAGGACTCTGCTTTAAAACAATTGTATATCAGCCGGAGTTTTTTCACCAATGTTCATATTATTACAAGCCATTGCAAAGTTTAAATCATATCTTTGCTCATAATCTGAACTAGTTTATGGACCACAAAAATGTTCCATATGCCTGAACTAAACGCTACAAGGTATGGGTTAGTAGGTGGTTTCGTCGAGTACAAAGATGATGCAGCTACTACAGAAAGTTGATACAGCCTAATTTTATTTGTTATTTATTTGTAGAGTCATATAAACCGGTTCGGAGACAATTGGTTTATCACCCGCGGTATGGTATGAATACATATATGATACAGATTTTAAAAGACTAATCTTTATTTTGTTTGCCTACCCGGCGTTTCTTCCTATTATGTTGGACTTGTTGCCTGTCATTAGGCTCCAAAGATCGTTTTTTTGCCTGACATTTGTTATATTGGCCAATTCTGTGATTTAAATTTAATTTTTTCTAAAAACGTGTGAGTATACGATAATAAAAATATTGTACAAAACTTTTACTTACTATACAATCAAAGATTTGATCATCCCTAAAGCTATTTTTTTGCAATATACGATCCAGCAGTTGTTGAACAAACTTGTAATCAGGTTTCTGGGAGAAGGATAAGGATCTTGCATAATCCAGAATTTTTGCGAACTCTACTTCCAAACATTGCACAATTGATTGGAAGTGAGTTTCTCCTTTTTTCTTAATACTTGTCGGTGTTTGGATCCTTTGTAATTTTTTTTGAAATCCATCCATGGTAAATTTCCCTTCATTAAGTATACAATAACGTATACCAGAGACTCAATATCGTCTCGTCGTGATGGCTCTAAAAAATTGTTGTAAACATCTTTTGGAATGAGGTCATGCTAGAAATTTACACCTACGTAGTCTTTTGTGAACATTCACACTAGCGTAACAAATTGTGCCCTTGAAAGGAACTTTTTTGGCGGCATGGACGTGAGTTTTGCCGTTCCTGTAGTACTTGCTTAAACCGAAATCCAGTAATATACGGTATTTCGGTCGTTATCCTTGACCCCTACAGTAATATTCTCTGGTTTGAGATCCAAATGTAATATTCCTAATTGCACAGAAACTATTAGCATCTGAACATTTTATCGTCAGCGTTCGAATAGTACCTTTGTCATGGAGATATTCAATACGATCAACCTAAAAAAAAAATATGTCACCTGAAAGTTAATGAAAAATAAAATGTGTTTACAACTTTATACGTACGAGCTGTTTGGCAATCAAGACTGTTGATTTTAAACTTAATTTTCCTCCATGGTATTCCGCTTGATCAAAAAGATCTTTTCCTACCAAAGTGAAAACTAGATAAAGAAAACCGCCTTCTTCGAAAAAGCTTATCATTCGTAGGAATCCGTGTTGGTTTCCAATTTTATCGTAAAATTCCTTTTCCCTGCTTAATTGCGGTACTTTGGAATTTAATTTTTCTTGCTTAATCGCGACATCCTGTTTTGTTTGGAAATCGAATGCTTAAATGTTGAACTCAATTAGTTGCGAAACCAAAACAAAT